AGCAATGAGATAATTTACATAGAAGAGACTTTAATTGTTGATGACACTATATTATTATTATTATGATTATTGTTACCGTCACTACGTCCCGGTGCCTCGTTCAGTAAAATTCAGCCCGACATGCTATGAGAACTACACTGAATGAGTGATAGCATGTTGGCTATCGAGTAGAAATACTTAGATCTTTTACAGATACACGTCATCAATGTTATGTGTAGCCCAAATTCTGCAGTTAATCCCGTTTAAAAATGTACGTGACACCCTGTGCTCTAAGAAAAATTGTGATAGGCTGATAGACAGGTGCGTAACCAATATAGACGCGCAGGCTGATCCCTTGCTGTGCGTGTAACAGGACGTCTACATCACGGAGCCCTGTTAACGCACAACATTTCGATAATTCATGCAACAAATCAGCTTTTTTGTGACAAAAAAAACATGAATATAAATTATAAGCACTTATTGCTGAAGATGATGATGATACTTCATCAATGTGACAAAAAATGCATTAATGGAATGCTGCTGTGATAAAAAGTGCATTGATAAAAATTAAATCGATAATATAAAAAAATATATATATATTCAAAAATTCTTCTATTTGAAAAATGCATCAATGATGACAACATTTTCATGGCGGGGGGTGGGGGTGCTCAGTTGTAACCTGAACACGTGGGGCGCACAATACGCGCATTACTAATAATATTTGTTGGGTACGGGCAAGTCATCGAATTGTTGCGTAAACGGCGTTTCATACCGTACCATAGTCTGATTGATACGGAAGGGCAGGCATATTTCGAATGTTAAAATATAATGAAATTCCCAGTAGATTGCTATCATCAGTTTTCAAAATAGATGTATAGAATTACTTGCTCGAAGAATTGCATACTTTTTTTTTCTTCGAGTTTTAATCAAATCATATGCAACAGAAAAGCTAATTGATGACCTAAATGTTTGTTGATAGTTCAGGAGAGAACATTATATAGTGTAGAAGATTTTATCAATATTTACGACTGTCATAAAACTACTAAATTTGACCCTGGATAAATAATTAATGTCTGAGAATGCTATTTGCTTTCATTTTTTTTAAATCGATGGTATATAACATTAAGTAATAATTTATTGACGCTAACCAAAAACGGGAGCTAACAAAATGTCCCATAACAACCATTAATCGACCACATGGTTGAGAGTTCAGTGCGTTTAACATTTCAAAGAATAATATAAATAATATTTGTATGACGCACTTATCGATATGAAAATGCTTGAGGTATTTGAAAAATCTTCACCGAGTTTATAATAGGCCAATCAATACTGGTACAATCTGTTGGGGAATGGTATCTTTATAATGATGGTGGTGTCGAGGATTATGATGATGATGATGATGATGATGGTGGTGACGATGCTGGTTGATGATTATATATTGTTGGTATGATGATGATGATGGTGATGATGATGATGATGATGATGGTGATGATGATGATGATGATGATGATGATTAAATTGATGATGATGGTGATGATGTTGACAATGAGAAAGTAGTGAAAATATGATTACAATGATTCGAAGTATTTAGAGATGAAGACGATAAAGATGGTATTGATGGCGATGATACTGACGATAATGGATGTAAGATATATAATAAGTTCGGGCTCACTAATATTTAAATTTTACAAACAGTACGGTACTCAATGCGACTTTAAGATTTGATTGACAATATTAACGATTTTACGTCAGAGGATGGTTAATGTTGTATAATTCAGTGTGTGCTTTTTATTAATTACCTCTGTGGCTCTGGGATCCCCATAATTGCACTCTCTGTAAATTACGCAAGTACATAATTGATGTGATGGCGATGATAATTAATTTGCTTAAGGATACTCTAGGGGGTAGGGGTTAATTGGTCACGTGATTGGTCTGGCATTATATAAATTTTTTGTTCACGTTCTGTCATTATAAAGAAAGGCTTCGAAATAAATACATATTGAAATTGAAATCGTATTTTTACTCAGTTAAATTACGGCAAGTGTTTTACTTTCAACGATTAACTAAATTATACGTAAAAGAATAAATAACGATATATATGTAGATACTATACCGCTCATTTCCCCTAAGCTGTGGTAAGCTTTGTTGAGTAGAGGTTTTCCTGGCCTACACTCGGCTACCCCATCTCAAAAGCTTCTCCACGCAAACCCTCATATACATATAATATGCCGACTATGCTTTTGAATTAACTATTATTTTACAAATCATATATTACAATTATTTTATTATATCATTGAATTGTACATTGCAGTATCGCTCAAACTCAAATTCATTTTATGTCAAGCGTCCACGAAACTACAATAGGCCTACAGTAGTCGAAATATTAGTATTGAAATAAATGTTCGTGGTTTTGAGATTCAAAATGTATATATGTGAGTATCTATTACCATTACACAGTATTATCATATATATATATATATATATATATATATATATAGGCCTATATATATTATATATATATATTATATTTATTATATATATATTATATATATGTATATATATATGAGTCATTTTATACTGTTTATATTTATAATGTAGTATGCCTGTGATATAAAGGTGTAATATTACATTTTCCACACTTATCCTTAAGTAGATGCGGGTTATCTTTAACATCTTCTACACTACTTCTAATAAATATAAGTGCAGTAACTTGATCTACAAAACGTCATTTAAATGAAATACGAATAATAAATTCAAGAATTTGCTGTACTCTAATAATACCAATTACCTGAATTCGATACATGTCTTATACGTAAATCTGCGACTTATTGTTATTAATTGTATTATTATTTGACTTGTCTGTATTGAGTTTCTAGTATAGCTAATACCCACCCACTACTGTATCGCATTTCAAAAAATCGCTCTAGGTTACAGTCGTAATGCTTGTCATATCCTTATGGTAAGTTTGTCATTTCAAATAGAAACAAATAAATCAAATATACCTAACATGTAATTAATAGGCCTATCATCAGTGTGGTACCGTACCGTACTATTTCGTATCCTGTGAATAACAATGTTTTGTTTCTGGTAGTTTCGACCCAATTTTAAGTTATTTACAGTACATTTACACGTATAGAAGAAAGTTCTTTTCGAATCGATACACTAGGCCACTGAAGTGTTCAGTTGGTGTTCTTCCTCTGAAGAGTTTGTCCCATACAACGTTTTTCTAATCTGTTCTGGTATATCACTTTAATTGAAATTAATACAATTAAATTTAACATTTAAACGATATAATATACAAATACAAGTATATTATATTGTCTCCGAAACAAAATAGGACTTTGACACGACGCATGCTATTTTACGGATAAAATATAGAACTGATGAAAGTTTGTATACTTAAGTTATTCCTATAGTTTATTAGTTTTATTATTTTTAATCAATTCACCATAAGTTAAGTTTTCATATAATATTTAACTTGTTTAAATGAACAATCTGTCTTAATAGTTCATGTCTTGGATTATTATTTTTTTTTTTTGGGGGGGGGGGGGGGGAAATCTGGGAAAAAGTTGAATTATACTAATAGAGGAACATTGTGAAGCAAAATTTCTACAGTGTGGTTAAACAGTAATGTAACATAGGTGTGCATTGAGGACTTATGACTCAAAGTTGTTTTATTGCTAATTTTTAAATAAAGATTTTCTGTGAGATGGGATAACTGTTGATAAATACACATTAAATGAGCGATAACAAGACTCATAAAACGAATAATACTTGTCGATTCGCCAGGGGTGGAGCCAGCGGGGGCCGGGGGCCAGCGCCCACTGTCGGGAAGGGCTGCCTCCCCCTCCCCAGTCGGGAAGAAAAAGCACAATTCGTCGGGGAGAAAAAAAATTATATGTATTTTCTACAAATAGTAGACTCTAAAATCGATTAAATAAGCCTTTAAAATCCCTAATTTTTTCAAAATTTTCGGGGGCTTCGCCCCTTGGACCACTTTCGAAGCATTTTAATCGAAGCTCGACCACGCCCACTTTTCTTTCGTCTGGGAAATCTGACCCCTCGTCGGGGTATCTGTCCCCCGTCGGGGACCTCGGCCCCTCCGTCGGGCAAATCCTGGCGCCACCCCTGCGATTCGCACTCGGTATCATTGAAGAAACACATGGGTAGCAATGCAAGTCGACAGGCGCATATGTCTCATCATTGGTACGTCACTGCTTATCAACCTTCAAAATCCATAAAGTACTGTTAAAATACCCGCAGATTCCCCATTGTAAAAAAAGAGATTAAATTTAATCAGAATTACTTTATTCCATGTGCAGGGATTTCGACTATAATATATAGGCCTATTGTGGTTGATTTTAAGCTTAAGTCTTGAATGTTCGTAAGACCATCCTAAGATACACAAAACGTGTCAGAAACAACGTTAACACAATGTTTACATCATTATTTCTTCAGAAATTTCGTTATGATTACTGCACAGTTCTACAAAATCACCAAACTGTAACTTTATTACAACGTTAGAATTGTTGGTTCATAAATGACGGTATTGTTATGTCCTAACCAATAAAATAGGTTTAAGTAATGTAGGTCTCTGTATATAATACGGTAGGCCTAATAGTGTTTTAATGTAATTCAAAATATCAAATTTTATGAGCCTGTTGATACACCTATGGTAATTATAATCACTTTATCTTGTTATTGACTCTAATTTAAGGGCTAGCCATATGTACCATTTTGCGTCAAATAATCATTCAATCATTTAATCAAACGATTGATCGATCGATCAATTAATCAATCAAATAATTAGTCAATGAATTTTGTTCAAGTGCCAATATATATACATGATACGGCAAAGTACAATGAAATAACGTTAGTGATTATGAAAGCGCACATCAAGATTATTCGAACGTATTCCACATGCATTCATGGCATTAAGTGACCAAGCCTTTTATATTTTTTTTTTTTATTTTTTTTTTTGCTAATAGCAATACCATAATAATTTGTATTTTTGTTTACAGATGAGCTTCTCATAGCCCCTGATTTCTTTCTACCGGAAGATTCCATCCATAACAGCGAGGTAACAGTGGTATGGGGACGTCCAAGTGGTATAGTAGATGGATATTACCTAGTTTATTATGATTGCACTACCCCTCACATCAGAGTAACCGTCAACCTACATAAGAACGCAACGAAATACGTGATTATAAACTTGCATCCTGATACAACGTACATGATGTATATGCTAACGTATTCTCAGATAAAGCCAAGATATGAGTACTATGATAAAGAGTCTAATACGACCTTAAAAAACTTCAAAAAGGAAGAACGATACAGTAAATCCTCAGATATGTTTCCGTTCAGGACACCTTTACGAGGTGAGATATTTCGATTCTTATGTGTTCCTAAATATCCGGATGTGTCCCAATTGCTATTTTAAAAAATGGCCTTGTTAGGGTGAAA